CCGAGTCTTTCAAACCTTCGAGTCTTGCGATACAAGCGACCAATGACTGTTTGAGACCGATCGATGACTGATCGATTAATAATCGTGGCCGTTTAATTCGGCTTTGTTCTTCCAACGATTCGATAAACTCGTCACATCGTTGCTCCCACGCGGCAAAGTCTTCCCTGGAATTTAACAGGGTGGATTGCTCCAACAACTCCTGCTCCATGTTATTACACGATCCTCTTGCTAACGCCATTTGTTGCACTCACGACTTCCAGTTCTCGACTATTGAGCGTATCCCCTAGATTCGTCATTTTATATTCTACTAAAGATGCATCGTTTGCTTATCATATCTAATTTCATCTCAGCAGCCGTACATCGGCGCTATTTGCAAAATTTGCAGTTTTGCACGTGTTCGATAAAATCATTGCGAGACACGTACGTTCACGAAAACGCGCCATTGACTTTTGGTGATTTGATCTGTATCAATGAAGCAGCCGTACATCGGCGCTATTTGCAGTTTTGCACGTGTTCGATGAAATCATCGCGAGACATGTCGCGACATGTTCTTCAAAACAATAACGCTCCATTGAATTGTGCGAAATTGCAAATTTTGCAGTTTTGCACGTGTTTGATAAAATCATCGCGAGACACGTCGCGACATGTTCTTGAAAACAATAACGCTCCATTAACTTATGCGAAATTGCAAAATTTGCAGTTTCGCACGTGTTCGATGAAATCATCGCGAGACACATATGTTCTTGAAAAGAAATCATATTTGATGCCCGATGAGGTGATCTCATCACGAATGTTCTTGACAAAGATATCACATTTAACGTATATGTGGATTGTGGTGGCGGTCACCATGCAGCAGCCGTGCATTGGCGCTATTTTTGCAAGATTTGCAGTTTTCGGTATGTATAAATGGTCTACGAGGATTCTAGAGCGCAGTCGAGAGTTCGATACGGTTCGAGTACGTCGCAAACAGCCTCCAGATACGATGAACACTCACGGCGCGAACTACTACGTTCCGATTCAGGACGAAACGTGCGAGAAACAGCACGATGAGTATGTACCGATAATTTTCATATATACTTGTGCAAAAAAAAAACTTTTATAAACATATAATTGTATTTTTCAGTTTTGATAAACCCCGCTACACGCCACGTATTTTGGGAAGAAGATTTGCCTTGACATCAACAGCGTATAAATTTTTGGATGTTGGAATCAACGCGGGACCTATGTCCTCTGTGGATATACTTATTGGCGATAATCGAGGCAATCGGATAATTCTGCTACATGCAACGTGGGTGACATTCATCGAAAAACGTGCAGATATACAGCGCATCGTGCAGTCATCGGCACCATCATCGCTAACGTTTCGAGATCTGGAGCTTAAAATACGTGACGCAGATATTGTAAAATTGACGTCGTGCGGCACCAGCTTGTACATGAAACCGTCAACTGTACTCTTCCTGTTCGAACTAGAACATTGCGTCGAGAATGTGTATTTACAACTATGTCAAAATGTTCACGGCGTAAGTGAAAAATTCAAACAGTTTGTAACAATTTTACGTCAAAATTGTATCACTGATAAATGTAACGCAGTTACAATGCGTGACGTTTATGATAAAAATTTGATTATTGATTGCGAATTATTAGCCTACGCTTTGGATACTATTGTGTATAATGCGCTACATGATAAATAAATGCATATAATATGGTTAAAAAGTTTTTCCTTTTCATTTACCGTTCATACCATTTCCTGTCATAAAGCTGCCTTCGTTTATCGTTTACTTAAATGTAATATTAAAAATTAAATATCGCGAAGATCTGAATGATTAAATATCGTTGGCGAACAAAAGATACGTGATCGCGAGCTAGAACGCGCGAGGGAAAGAGACCGCGCGAACGAGAAGACTCGCGCAAGCGGGGGGGGGGGGCGCGAGACACCGCGCGAACGAGAAGACGAATGGGGGGACGGGAAAAAAACATCTACGAGGGGGAGATAACGCGAGCGTGCCGTGTGACGTCACGCGGACGCCGCGGCGCGGCGAAACGCGAACGCGGGTCCCCTCGCCCCGCGGCGCCGGAAAACGCGGACCCCCTCATCCCGCGGCGCCGGAAAACGCGGACCCCCCTCGCCTCGCGGCGCCGGAAAACGCGGACCCCCTCGCCTCGCGGCGCCGGAAAACGCGGTTCCCCCCTTCCCCTCCCCCGCGGTGCCCGAAACACGCGGTTCCCCCTCCCCCTTCCCGCGAAGCCCGAAACATGCGGTTCCCCCCCCCCCGCGGCCCCCCGCCCACGGTCCCCCCGCGGTCCCCCCCCGCCTTTCACCCCCCCCTCATTGCTCCATGGTTAGAACAAACGTAGCTTACCTACTAACGGTTACCGCAGCGCGCAGCGCGAAATGTTCTCGACGTTGGCCGATCGACCCGCGCCGAGGGGTATTTCCCTTCCGGAAACGGCGGATTCGGAGGCGAACGACAACGGCAATAAAATACGAAGGATCAGTTTGATGGATGATTGTCATTATCGTCCTCATCGCCAGAAGTCGCGTCGCAGTTCTCATCCTCCCACCGACGCGCCCGTTGAAGACGATCGTCATTATCGTCGTCATCGTCAGGAGTTGCGTTCCAGCTCTCGCCCTCCCACCGACTTGCCCGTCGAATTGTCCGCGGTGCGCGTCCTGACGACGTGTTATCTGCTGACGACGACTGGCTACAAGTACATAGCCATAGGTATCACGATCAAATCACCATGGTACAGCACAAACACCACGCCTTCGTATAGTCTAAGAGCTGGCAACAGAAAAAGCAACATGCCTCGGTCCATGAAATATCTTACCTGGAAAAGGTTCGATTGCTGCCGGCAAAGCGAAAGCCTGACCGTCAGAAGGCGGACTGAAAGCTAAGTGGGTGGGCGGGCGATCAAACGTGTAAATTTTCCAACAAAAAAAACTGTCGATCGGCACGGCTGAAAATTTGCATAGGTATCGAGGAGTATGAGAAAAAGCAGGAAAAAAATTGTCAGAAGAGTAAGTAGAAGCTAAAGGGTTGTCAGAAGCTGCCAAAGTTGCGAAAAATCTCGGAAAATTTACATATTAAGAAGCACTTCTGACAATTTGCATTTGTATTGTTTACGTATAGAATAAACTAAGTGCAAAGTGTCAGAAGGCAAAGTGGAAACGATCATGAAAAAATCGGGTGCAAAGTGCGAGAGCGTCTTTCGGCGCGCGGCGCAGCGCCCAGTGGACCGATCGCTTTTCTCTTGATTTTCACACCGTACATATTTCATAGCACTTTTGACAATTTATCAGAATATTCATAAAAGACTAAAAGAACTATTATTAAAATGTCAGAAGTCAATTGAGAAGAATTAATAAATTTAATTTTGCTTTCTCATGGAGGAAACTTTGTGATGGTAAAAAATTTTTTTTCGAGATTTTAAAAAAAATAGGTTTAGAATGTTCCAAAATGTCGAGAATGTGCGTGCGTGTGTGTGCGTGTGTGTGTGTGTGTGTGTGTGTGTGGATTTTTGTACACGTATCTACTTCTACAATTTTTTAAATACCGGGTTGAAGTTTTGCACATCAAATAGAGTATTATAGAAAGTATGTCCTCCTCTAATTTTATTAAAATCCGTCGACCGGTATGGATTTTAAGGAGATTTTCATTTTTCAGAAAAGCGTATTTTACGCTGTAGCTTTCTCAATATTTGATACATCAATCCATTTCTAATTCTATTATATTTTTCAGTTTTTTCTACCCCTATTTCATATACAATTCTTTAAAATTTGGTTAAGGATGTTTTATATAGTTAGGCAAAATGTAACGAAGTTGATGAAAATTTAATATCATATTCTGTATACTCTTTCAAAGTTCGGAGCCAAATTTCAGATCGATTCACAATTTAGATAAAAAGTTATCAATTTTTTAATATCCGAGTTTTAACATGTAACCTTATGGCGTTACAGAGAAAAGTGTTAAAAAAGACATTAAAAAATGTAACGAATATAGTGATATTTTACACACAAGTAGATCATCAACAAACAAAAATATAGCAACAAAATTTGAAACGATTTACAACATAGTTTTGAAGAAATTGCAAAAAGATTAATGAAATTATTGACGGATCGGACTCGTGATCGGACTATTGGCGCGCGCAGTATGGAAGTGTGGCAACACCGCAATCAGCTGCTCCGTCCGTAAAGCATGTATACTCGAAAAATAAGTTTATAATTAATTTTGTTAGTTTTTGAGACAAGAACTTTTCAATAATTACACAATATTAAAGTAGACATTCCGTGTTTAATTGGAGAATCACAAATAATTAAAACAAAATACAAATAAACATTTTATATAACGACAAACAGAAACACTTTTTTAATATAAAATAAGTTATACTCATAAATTATATCTATTTTATAAACATTAGCATTTCTTTTATAAACATATTTTATAAACATTTCTTTTATTGTATACAATATACTTTCTAATAATCTTATAATTAATTTTTTTTAGTAAGAAAATCAATAATTTTTTTAATTGTTTTTCCGTGAAAATGGACAACCTTATTTTCTCTTTGTTTGAAAAACTCTTGAATACCAACAGTTCCAGATGTAGAGTACACGTTTTGCAAAGTGTTTAGGCTTATTGCAGCTTTTGCCAATTTTTTACGAGTCGCTGCCCCTAAGATTTTTTCGAGTGGTGCTAGCATTACAAAGTTTTCTTTATCTTGATCTTGAACGTTCCAATCGTTTATTTTTTGATCGTATAACGTGACATTTTGTAATAAGATTTCATTTGTAATTTTTAAAGCATGTAATACTTTATCTAACAGACTGCAGTCATAGATTGCGTTATGTGCTCCTACAGCATCAATATTTAGTGAATTCGCTAATCCACTTAATGTACAGGCGCCTTTACTTTTTTTTCCAGTCATTTGTCTAATTATGGGTAGCGTATCCACAAAACCATGTATTAAACTAGAAAATTTATCGTCGAGATTGTGTTTCCTTAGAGCATCATATAATCTAGGACCATCAAAACATAAATTATGAGCAGCGAGACCACACTTTGTCTCAAAACTCTCAATCCATTTCAAAAACTTTTCCAATGCAACTTTCATTGGAACTGATGACACTTTGAGTCCATGGTGCATAAAATCTCCATAACAATTGATTAAACCATTGGCTGCAGTCGCACCTATGGAGACTTGCTGCGTTGGATTGATATAAATATCAAAATGCTTTTTGACAGATTTAGTTGCAATCTGCAAGATGTCGCAATCTCGTCTCAGGCTTGAAGTCTCTAGATCAAAGAGAATGATCGGAATATCACTCTCGTTATCACGCTCGTTATTTTCTTCCTCAATAGGTACAGCTGGCTGAGTCAATAAGCCACAATTACTTTCATATGTAAGCCCTTCGCTATTTTCTCTTCGATAGCGCAGAATGCTACGAAGTTTCTTTTGTTCCATACGCTTTTTTTTATATTGATGAGTATTTATACGGGCTTTCCGTTGCAAATAAGTTTTGTCTGTCTTGGAGATATGACGTAAATGGTGCTTTCCGGATGATAGCTGAATTTGGTTTGCTATGTCTTGGGTGTATTTTTCCCCAAGATTTTTCTGAGCTACACTGCATGAAAATCGAAAATCTGCGGATGCACTCATGCTGTAACAACGGGATTTGGGGGCTTTACTTGCCATTGTGGCATTTAAACTCTCATTGCGATTACTGGAGGCTCCACAGGCAAACTTTGCAGCGTTATCAGCCAATTTATAAAACACTTCTTTCAAATCTTGAAACAAATTTTGATTACTAAATCCTCCAGGCACAGCACGATGATCATAATTTTCTTTATTTTTTATGTAACCGCACCATATGCCACATTGAGTATGATCGTTGAAAGCATGATGTGGAATACTACGTATAGCTGCGGTCATAGCTATGCTATTTCCTGTATTTTGCGCAATGGCATACGTAAAGCACTTATGAAGATATGTAATACCCTCCTTTGTCAGCTTTTTATGTTTTTTTTGAATACCATAGAGTTGTTTTTTGACACCTTTTGACGCGTGATTTTTATCAGATTGTTTGAGGATAGGATGATTACTAGCGCTTCGACAAGCAGCAATGGTGGAACTATCGTCGTCCCCTATCAAAACTCCAACCTCTACATTTTGGGATTTGAGGATTTCACTCTCGACGACTAGTTTTTTCCCTACACAAGGCTCCATGGCTTTTGCAGAACCGTAGAAATTTCGACGACAATCGTGGTCAGGAACGTGTCCATCATTATTATCACACTTTTTACATTTTCTGTTGCAAGTCGCGTAATCTAAGACCATTCCGCTGTAATGACCAATGACAGCACCAAAGCCATTTAGACTATCATAATTTCGACCGGATCCTCTTGTACTCCATTTCATGTCATAAGACACCATCACACGAACTTTATCATTAGGTGATACGCTCTGTGACTCTTGGTGTGGAATAATAAATCCTGTTTGGAATTCCTCAGGCCTGTATATAATAATCGGAAACAACTTTCAAAAAATAAAGTTGAGAATACTTTTTGTTTCAATTTTTTGTTAAAATTACTACACATTACTACATTGCTACAAAAATAATTTAAAAATATATTTTAACTATTATATTTTACTCCCAAAGTGAAGAAAAATAACTAAAGAATTATAACAGTTAGCGATAAAGCATTATAATAGAATGCGATAAATTCTTAAAAATTAAAAAAATGTTACTTAAAAATCCGTAAAAAATGTAAATTTATTTGTTAAAAACATAAAAGAATTATTAATACGCGTAATAATTTAGAATTTGACATTAAGAACGTCTAAATTAATTTTGTCATTAAAGTATTATAATTTACAGAACTTCGGTTAATAATTATATATACAATTCAAAAACCTATACTAAGTTTTATGATTATGGATTATTTTTTGAGTAAGGTGTCTTTATTATTTTATGTATTATTTTATATATTATTATAGTAAAGTAAGGTTACTTCAAGCAAGTAATCTTACTTTTTTGATACTTTCATTTTTTATTTCGAAGAAAGAATCTGTAACCAGGAAAATAGGGACAATAAACCAATGAAAAATTAGATAATTACAATAATTTTTCGGTAGTAACTACTTCATCTATAGATCTCTGCCTTTCTAGCGCTACAGCATTTTTACAGCTTCTTTTTGCCACTGCTTCTGCCGCTAATCCAACTTCTTTTTCATATTTTTTAAAAATTATAAAATTGAAGCAGGGTATATTCATACATGCAAGCAGTTTATTTAATTGTGACCAGCCTAATCCACTGTGAAGTGCTCCTAAAAAAATAAAACATAATAAAAATTAACCTTACATTATAGTAGGGGAGCCCAATGGGGGATTTGGTGATTTACTCGAGCGCGACAGATTAACATATAGGGGGATACCTTGCACCCTGTTGAGTACCTCCACTATATATAAGCTCTTAATATAGGATCGCGCGTCTAGGGCAGCCGATCAGAATAGTAAAAAAAAATCGATCGTTAAAAATACTCGAGCGCGTCAGATTAAGGTAAGGTGGGTTAATAACATGCAGAAAAGTGTGCATTTCAATAATCTGACGATTTGAGCGTGACATAAGGGAGTGGGAGGGTCACAAACTTGCAAAAAAAAACGTCACCTTGACATTCTCGAGCGCGGTCGAATTTTTTTTTATTTTGAAGGAAATAATTCAAGAATAACGGAAAAAATATAATCTGCCGATTTCCACAAGCCGAAGTAGCACAAATCGTCAGAAAAGTTTAGTGCGTGCAGCTGCAGTGAAGCATGTATTCCCCACTCCGCGTCTCTATTTCCCTTTCACTTTTTATCGATCTCTTACCGGGTCTGTTTCTTTTAGCTGCACTGACTGAGCTAATTCACTCCAACTTACTGCACTAATGTGCACCAGTTCAGCCAGTGCAGGTAAAAGAAACAGACTTACTCTCTCGCACCGTCCCCACGCTACTCCGTTTTCCGTCGCCATAAAAAATAGATTTTTTTATTTGCATTCTATTTTCCATGCATTTTACTTGTCACACTTAGTAATTTAAAATAAAAATTTTTTTTTTAATTAAAAAAATTTTTTTTCAATTTGTCAGATTAAGAAAATCCCTCCAAATAATCGTCAGATTATGGGTCAGCGCGACTAGGACATCAAGCTGAATCACCTGTATAATAATCTGACGCGCTCGAGTATTTCAAAATGGCGATTTTTTTTTGCATTATCAAGAAACCGCTATGAGCTTGCGTCATGTCCGAATCGTCAGTCTTTTGAATGGGAGCTTTTTTCGGGTTCACTTAACATCCCCTCCGAATATCTGACGCGCTCGAATAAATTTTTTTTTCCCGTTTTTAACCGTTCCGTACAGCCACCTCCACCGTGCAAACCGGCAGATTAACATACCTCCAATATCAGAGACACGTGGGGCATATACACTATCAATATCTGACGCGCTCGAGTATATTCATGTGACTATTTTTTTTACATTTTTGAAAACCTGTAGACGCTTCCCCCACCGGTGAAAGAGCGTACATTATATAACCTTTTTTTCTTTCTACTATCTAATCTTCAAAATCCAATAGGTTCCTACGACGCTCGAGTAAATCATCATTTAGCCCGCTGGGCTTCCCTACTATTATACAGCTTTGAAATCTAACTTTTAAGTAAAAAAATAATATTTTTACCTAATGCACATTTTGAATTAATGTCATAACGAAGGTTGCATCTATTTCCGGATTCATGAATATGAGTTTTGCTCGTAATGACCTTATTCAACAGCAAACATTTGTGACATCTAATAGTTAGTTCTGATGCTAACCCTTGATATATCTCAGTCTCCAGAAATTGTAGCAATAATGCCTCTTTACATGAGATGCACTACAGTTGTTCACCTAAAAATTGTAATTCGACGATACGTGGTCCATGCATAACCTCTGAAACACTTCCTTCAGCATTCTCAATACTTTCTTGCACTGGATTTTTTTTTCTTTTATATCCGTTCTTCTGTTGCGCAAGTCTTTTCTTATATTGTTTTTCAGTAGCGATTTTTCCTTTCCATCGATACATTTTTTGTGCGATAATAATACGGTTGAACAACAAGCTTTTTCAATAACCTCCAATATAGCATTGATTTGTATAAGTATACGTGTGTGTGAAAACAGGCCTCCCAACCTCTTTGGATTGTACAGTGTTGTCACATTTAGCTGCGTAGCTTATTAATATATTTACAGCAAATATCATTATAATAAAAATATAATTTTCATGTTTATACAATATACTTAATTTATATTATTGAATATGACTGAAATTACGAGTTTAGAGCAATTACTTTATTTTATAATTTTTCACAGATTTAATTTTTTAAAGTTGAATTCAGGGCAAATTCACTGTCAAAAATTATTTTGCCGAGACTTTGTTTAAGAAAAAAATAGTAGTAACAGTTATTTACAGTCACTAAATCTACGTTTTTTACATTCTATTAGACTTGTCGTAACTATTTGTATACATTTTTTTTGTCTTTGGATCTCTAGAGAATTAATATCGGTGTTTTTAAGATTTCCATGACTTTTTGCTGGACCTGTCCCTATAAAACATCCTTAATCAGTTCTTGAGTTATAGAAATTTCAGTAAACTTGACTGTTTTTTTTAACAGAAATCGGTAACCCTTTTATTATTAACAATTTTTATTAATTTTATTATATTCTTCAGTCTTTTCTACCCCTATTTTATATATAATTTTTTTAAAATTTGGTTAATTAAGCGATAATTCTTTAAAATTTCTGTTAAAAAAAACATTTGAATTTTGAATATTGAATATTGAGTATTGAATATTGAGTATTGAATATTAAAAAAAACAGTCAAGTTTACTGAAATTTCTATAACTCATTCAAGAACTGATTAACCAAATTTTAAAGAATTGTATATGAAATAGGGATAAAAAAAACTGAAAAATATAATAGAATTAGAAATAGATCGATATATCAAATATTGAGAAAGCTACAGCGTAAAATACGCTTTTCTGAAAAATGAAAATTTCCTTAAAATCTGTAACGGCCTGACTTTATCGAACGCGGACTGGTTTACAGGATCGGGAGTTCGATGAAAGGCCCAGAAACAGTAATCAATTTGCCATGTGACAGCAACATACACTTTATTCAAAACTATAACATGAACTATAATATAAAATACTCGGGATCCGGTATTACATACAAACTGGACGCGGTAGATTACAGTGGTCGGTAGTGCCGGTGCAACGCGACGCGGTATACGAAATATCGGGGCTCGAGTCTTCGCCTCGAGATGCGGTACGCAGCGGCGGGAATAACGCAGCGCGGTATTTGACAGAACGGAGTCCGTCGCGGTATAAAGGTATAAGACGATACGGAACGCGGTATATTACATACGGAATGCGGCTACAGATAGACGATAACGGAACGCGGTATATTACATGCGGAACGCGGCTACAGATATCAGATATGCTATATGAACCGAATTAGATATTCTATATGAATCATCGGCAGTGCCGGTGTGCCGAAATGCTGAAACTAATTAATACAACGAAGCGCGGTATTTTGCATCAGAGGATGGCGGAATCCCGGGGTCACGGTCGTGAGAACCCTCGCTGCGAGGCCGAGCACGCTCGACCCCACGGTGCCGTGGCCGTCGGGGTAAGTGTCAGGGAGTTCGGGAACACTCTGAGAACCCTCAGTCGAGAACCAGAACTCTGGACCTCGTTGTACGTGTTGCCCTAGGATTCGGAAGGTAGCTTCGTCAGGAATAGCGGAGAGCCGTGGTGAAGACGAAGTCTCTTCGTCGAGCGCGCCGGCTTTTTATACCGCTCGGCGCGGTGAGCTTGGCAGGAGGGAGGCCGATCGTCAGGCGACGGTGCGGTGGTGGGAGCGGCGCGATCCCGCGTGCTCGCTTCGGCGGGGATCGGCTCGCTTCGGCGCTCGTCGGCGTCGTGCGGGAAGGCACCGGTGCGGCGGATTTCCCGCGCACACGGTGCGTTTCAAGTGTTTAAAAAAATGTGGGCGCACCGCGCCCTGTCCTCGCCCGACGGAGAATCGGTCGGGCGGCTCCCGGCGGGTGGTAGCCTGGGACGATGCCTTGTCGTAAGGGGCGCATCGTTACAAATCCATACTGGTTCTTTAAAATTTGGTTAATCAGTTCTTGAGTTATAGAAATTTCAGTAAACGACTGTTTTTTTTAACAGGAATTTTAAAGAATTATTGATTGATTAACCAAATTTTAAAAAAATAATATATGAAAAAGGGGTGAAAAAGACTGAAAAATATAATAAAATTAATAAAAATTGTTAATAATAAAAGGGTTACCGATTTCTGTTAAAAAAACAGTCAAGTTTACTGAAATTTCTATAACTCAAGAACTAATTAACCAAATTTT